GATATAATTTTTTTTTTGTTTTAGTATTTTGAAGTTGACCAATTGTTACTATAAGCAATTAATGATTATAGATGATCATCAATTAAAATATTGAATTATTATTATTATCAACTATATTATATACGGACGGAATTAGTGTTTCATCACCACAGAAAATCATTGTCACTTATTGTTATGTAACTTAATATTGTTTAAAATCTTATATAACTTGTGGATTTTTATTTCTGATATAATTTTAAAACAAAAATATAAAGATAAAATTATAATAAAAAATAAAAATAAAACGATAAAATAAAATAAATAAAAAAAATGCCAAAAGAAAATAATAATAAAAATAATAAAAAAGACCTATCATCTAATTGGGTTTTTACCATTAATAAAAATTATTTGCTTTATGATGATGATCATAATGTAGTAATGAATAAATTTTTACAAATGAATAAATTTAAATATGTTATATTCTCGTATGAACGAGGAAATGAAAATAATACTGAACATATTCAAGGTTATCTTGAATTAACTCAAAACGTACCGAAATCTTTTTTTAAAAGTCAATTACATATTGAAAAACGAAGTGTTAGACAAAACCAAGCAATTGATTGTGTGTATAAACGTGGTATATATTCTAATAAATACAATACCCATATACGAGGACCTTATGAATCTGGTAGAAAAAAATATAATGGTCAAGTTAATGATATATATGAAATATATCAGGAATTAAAGCTGGTAAAAATTTATCGGATTTGATAAGAGAAGAAGCAAATCTTGTATCCATTTCTCAAAATTTTAAAGTGGTTCATAATATGGATAATATTTTATTATATAAAAATAAAACTTATAAAATAAATAAAAATGAATTTACGAAGATTCAATAGAGAACAAAAAAGAATTATTACAACAATTTAATCGTCGTGATTTAGATTATTATCCGTCGTCATTCATTCTTCAATATCAGAATGAAAACAAATATAAACGTATTATCGATGAAGATCATTATATTATTGTGTTTGAAAAGAAAACAAGAGAATTAAAAACCATATTCAAATATGATATTCTTCATGAATATTTTAAAGAACATAAATTAGAACATGAATTTAGAGATTTAAAACATGAATTATTGAGTAAAGAAGATTATAAAAAATTAAAAGAAGCAATACATGAATCCATTAATCAATTAAAAATATAATTGTCATTTATTTTATTTAAATATGATACATTAAATGTCGTATTTTACTTGATAATCTATTCATTTAATTATTTAATTATTTTTCTATTTGTGTTTTTTGTTTTTCATTCTTTTTTTTTTTAATAAAAATTTTATTTTATTTTTTATTAATTTTTTAAATAAAAAAAAATGTTTTACGTTACGTTTTAAAATGTGAAAATGGAAAATATTATGTAGGAAAAACAATAAACCTTAAAATGAAATCAAAACAACATAAAAATGGAGAAGCATCAAAATGGACACAATTACACCCTCCAATTGAAGATATTAAAGATGAAATTTCAATCACTAATAGACGTTTAAAATTTGCAAAAACTCTTGAATATATGAAAGAATATGGAATAGATAATGTCAGAGGTGGACCACATTACGAACTTGTATTTAATTCTGAAATAATAAATATAATTAAAAGACAAATGGATGGTACATGTTTCAAATGATGGTGAAATTAATCATCATTCAACTAATATCATCTATCTTCATAGAAAACCTATGAATACTTTAAAATATTATTCCTTCGTTGTTCTCTTTCTAAAGTTCTTCTAAGTACATGCTGAGTATGGTATATAATGCCCCGAGTTTCTTCGATTGCGGTATAACCTGGCTTTTTCAAGAATGATTATATTTCTGGTTTCTTCAGACGGAAGATATTGGATCACATGTTCGCAATATGGTTGGCCGACACTTATATTTTGACCAGCAGAAATTACCACTATTAATTAGTAACTACTTAACTAATTTAATTATTTAACATTTCAGAATTTTGCTTGTTAATTAATTCATTTTTGTAATAAACACTTTTACAGATTAATTCTTTATGTTTAATAAAAACACTTTTGCAGTTGGTCAGTAATTAAACAGTGAGGTTCAACTGACCATTTGGTTATTAAAATGGTATAGAACTACAGTTTCTATTCGTAATACAGAATCTTATTCGAATAGAAACTCTATATAGAACTCTGAAGTTTTATAACTTAGTTTTGATTATTTTCTTTGATGGAAAGCAAAGGTTTAATTTTTGGTTTTTGTTAAGTGTAAACGTTTGTTTTTGGAAAAGAATTTAAATGTTTTTGTGTAATCGTAAGGTGTTAAGAATATTCGGTCAGATATAAATTGCTGACATTTATTAATTAGGCCGTTATCACATATCACTTTGTTAAAGTATTTTGCAAGCGTACGACAGAATTTAACCAGACAAAGAAAAGTAAAAGTAAATAAACAAGGAACTTCATTAAAACATTCGTTGTTTTATAATAGGATTACATTCTATTTGTTTACAAAAAAAAAAAGGGTTTCGAGATTCTACGAATTTTATTGCAGCTGCAGTTGAAATTGAAATTGAAGCCAGAGTTGCAGCCGCAGAGCGCTACCCCAAAAATGATTTTGATATTTATAATAAAAACAAGGATTGTTTAATGTTACAACGTTAACTATTTCTTTTTTTATGTATATGTATATACACCAAATATCAATTATAGTTATAATTAGAAAATAGTTGTATAATAAACCGACAGCTAAATAAAATCTTTCCTTACCTAGACTACATACATTATTTGTTTTTAATGCACAATACGATTCATTATATAAAAACTATATTTAATATTATGTCATTTTTCTTTACTTTGCCTCCAATTAATTATTATGTTACACTACATTAGTTGTTACGCGTTTTCGGCAATCAATAAAATAAAAATAAAAAGAATTTGATTATATAAATAGTAAATCAATTTTCTCGAAGTCAGAAAAAAACCAAAATCCTTAAAATAAAACAAAGCAAAAATGAACAAATCATTATTTATCACTTTCATTTTCTTGTTCGTTTTTCCAGTTATAATTTACACACTTCCCTCACCTCCGTTGGTAAAGAGAGCTTTTGCGCCATGTGATGGCACCTTTCCAATTGCCTTTAGTAAATTTGAATATCTCCCTGATCCAATTATTGTAGGCAGCCCTGTTACCGTAACCGTTGAAGGCGTGAGCACAATCACCATAGATCCACAGACTATACTTCGATATAACCTTACTTTTGAAGCAAATCAGTTTAGTTTCGACGCTCCTTTTTGTAAATTATTCAACCTAGCATGTCCATTGGCACCTGGACCTTTCTCATATACAAATACCACTAACATTCCAACCGCTCCTGGTAGCTCGGGCAAAACTGTTATAATTGATGAGATTTTAAACGGTATGTTGTCATTTTATTATTTGTTTATTGTTTATTCGTTGACTTGTTCGTTCAAATACTAAAATATCAACAATTGCTATTTAGTTATTGCTCCTGATAATGTAACTACAATAGGGTGTGTGCAAGGAAGCGTGACTGTCGTTTTTCCTTAAATCTATTTTTTAATTCACGAGTTAAAAACATCAACATTTTATTCGCTAATGTAAATTTTTTTTCGATATCTGATATATATATATATATATATATATTAATTAATATACATTAACCTACTTGTATGAATCAATTATTTTTTAATACATTAAACAATTCTTTATTAATAATAAAATAATTAAATAATTTTGTTGTACATCTCAATAATAAAACGTGTATTTTCACGAAAATTTGCCCCCCAAAAAAATCACAACAATTGACTAGCACACTCTTTATGTTTCAATTATTTTGCATAACGCTTAAAACATTGCGATAGAGCCTCCATAAAAGAGTAATTGCAGAAACTAATGACCTTTGATTTTTCAACTTTGTGACATTTATTACCAGAATTTCCATTTTTATTATTATTGATTTGCAGTTAATATTAATTTGGATCAATAATAATAATGTTCTATGGCTATCAAAAATCGAGGAAGTGTTGTGTTAGTCGTCAAAACTAGTTTGAAGAGAGAAATGTCAAAACTAAATTAAAAGTTATATGTCAAAACTATATAAAAGCTAAAGCAAGTTTTGACTTTCACACAATATAGTTTTGGAAGCCAACACTAATAGAGAATGACGGGTTAGACTTTTCACTACGTAAACATACGAGGCCAAATATCCTTTCTAATTCCCTAACTTTTTTCCAATTCTTCAATAGGAAGATCTAATCCGCATCCAGGAGCTTACAAACGATTCTTTGGTGACAAACTACAAAAAAATTAAGGAATCCACATTCAACAATCATATATTTACAATTATTGAATAAAGTAGCAATCGATTTATTGGTTTCAGTCACGTGATAATTAATGCTAATTTTCTGCGGAGGAAATTTTTTTTTTAAATTATAATGTATATTGATTGCCGTTGTTGGTAATTAATAAAATGCAAGGAATCTATGTATATTAGCAATTTTTCTTTCAACATATATAAAAGAAAAAGAAAGGTTGTCGTGTTACGGTGCCTTACTTGTAATATTTTTCTTTTTTATGTTTCCCAATTTTGAAATGTTTGGTTGCACGGGAAATAATTCGTTGCAAAGACTCGGTTACAATCACGATAAAGAATTACAAATCTTCTAAACATTTTTTGTTTCTCAATTTTAGTAAAACTGAATTGTTGGGAAAGGATGAGGTCAATATCAAAAGGGTAAAACTTTGTAATGAGTCATTTTTTTTTTCTTTGCTGCGTTGGCTTGAAATGATTTGCAAAATTGAAATTTAAATATTTCGTTTTCCAAAAATGATAAATGGTTGTGGTTATTTTTATGTCGCTGTATCATAAGAATCCCAATTGCTATCTATTTGTCGTGTTTTGTGCAACAGAAAAACTTATCTGTTTTGGTTCAAAACGTCAGATACTTACTAAAAGGAAAATTGTGTTTTGCTTTAGATGTTTTTTGCGCAATGTCTACCATTAGGCTTTCGTCTTGTTCTGACGTTTCGGACCGTCCAAAATGACAAAAACTGATGGTCTTGTCTTTACCTCTTTACCATAGATCGTCACACAACGTGTTAGTAATATTTTCTGGTCACGAGACCGGAATTCAAAAAACGGTTTATTTTGTTGTCAATTTAATTAATAATCGATAAAACAAACAATATGTGCAAATTTTTTTGATTTGACCATTTGAAAAAGAAAAATTTTTAATTTCCTTTCGGAGAAAACAAACGAATCTTTTTTTAATTTTGACCATTTGAGGGATAGTGGATGATATGATTTTCTTTTGAAATAAAATTCGTTGATTAATGAAATGATTAAGAAAAAAAAAATGTGTTGATTTTTTTTTAACAATCGATATTTGTAAATGACTTTTGATGTTTGCATAAAGCTTATTCTTCTGTAGCGATAAACTTGAAAAAAAAAATCTAATCGATCCAATTGATATTTAATCTGGGATAAATAAATAAACACGAGGGACAAAAGGATCTTTTTTTTTAATTAGAAAAAAAAACTTGATTGATGTTTTTAACAGTAAATGATTTTTGATTATGTTAGGTTTCTTCTTTGGAAAGGATCTTTTATTAAATTTATTAAATTCGTGAACAATTTCCCTTTGTATATATAATTTTTTAAATAAATAAAAAATAAATAAACAAATAAAATAAAAAATATTGATATTATAATAATAATATGACTGGCTAATGTCGATGCTCCGAACGAGTATATAGATACCTCTAATTTGAATGCACCGTGATTTTTTGGTTCACGAGTAAGTGTAGCGGGTCTATTTATATATTTTTGTTGTAATTTATTAGACTACTCGATCAATGCATCCTCTGACCATGAAATAGTCTATGATATGATTCTGAGATTCAATGCTAATATTGAACAAATATATATGTATTTTATTTATAATGATGTGGACACCAAAAATATTATTGCACAATACTAATCTGTATTTCACGAAACTCACTGTTATGTTTTTGTTTAAAAGCTTGTTCTATTATTATTGAAATCAATCCAGGTAACATTAACAGCCGATCAGTATTTTTGCTTTATTAAACGAATAATAATAACAAGAATTGCCCCAAGACTAGAACATTTATTAAGAAATTGGTTCAACGTGGAATCAATACCTAATCTCAATAATAATTGCTTTTATAATCACTATTTATTAATAGCTCTTTGATTATTAATCCTGGGAATGGCTCAACCCCCAATCATGATTTCTCAGCAGTCCTTTGTTATCTGCATGAGTTGGGAACATTTCAATATATATTTAATATCTCCTCAGTATGTTGGGCTTTACCTTTATTCTTGGCTTTGGTTCGTTGGGCTTTACTCTTATATATTTGGCTGGCCCTACCTAGTTAGGATTTTTACTATTCTTAGACTCCGAACTAAGTTATCTCTAATGTTAGGCTCCGATCTAAATACAATTACCCTCCCACAGATCTTAGGCTACAACTCTGAATAAAAGAAAAAGAAATAAATATATACAACTATACTTAACAAAGGCATCCCCCTGATAAGGTAGTAATTAATTAAATACTTGGATGGGTTTACCAAAAGAATTGATTCTTCTGCCAACGAGAGTTTTGGTTAAAATATATTTCATTGTTATGTTTATTATTTATTATGTTGAGATATTATTATTAAGATAAAGGATAATGATAAAGATAATATATGAAGTTAAGAAAATTATGTCATTATCTATACATGTTAAAGGTTTTATCACATAGCCCTCTGTAACTAAATGTATTCCTTAAACATTATTTGAACCTTCCGTGTAGAATTACCTTCAAGTTATTTAAATTCCTTTGTTTAAATTTAATCTGAGAACTAAAGGTCCGTTACATTTTAGGAGCTAATTATTATTACACAGAAATGATAATTGGAAAAAACGAAAAAAAGAAAAAAGAAAATTCTAAACAATTTGTTCATCTTTGCTGTATATTTTTATATGTTATATAATAAAAAAACAGATCAATAACTTCGCAAAATGTAATACTTCTCTTCAACCAGTTTCATTATTTCTAAATTTGCTTCCTCAACCACCAATAAAATTGCAGCACGTGTATTTTTGATATTTTGTATATTTTGTTCTTAAAAAGAGTTGTTATTATTTATTAAAATGAAATTTATGTAAATTTGCAAATTGACATACACGAAATTCAAATTAGCCAAAATTTTAATCATATATACTGTATATATACAAAAAATACTTACTAGTGAAAATCAAATTTGCGTTAATTAATAATACTACACATCTAAACTCGATAAGTTGGACATTTATTTATATTATAAAGTACTTTAAACAATTGATTTCTGCGTCCGACTTATCGAGTTTAGACGTGTAATACTAATACTAATACTATATAATATTGATTAAATTTTGGTGTTTGAATACAAATTTCTGATTGGCTAATTTGAATTTCATGCGTGTGAATTTCGATTCCAAATTCACGCACAACATTTTACTTCACAATATCTTTTATAAATAATGTAGTAACAGGAGATAGGTCTACCACGGGTCCATCATATACAGAGTGAAGAAGTCAGAATGTTTGTTACTAAATTAGGAGTCAGTGGTTCAAAAGTGTTTAATTATGATAATTCTAAAATATTATAAAAAATAAAATTTCTTTGACTTGCAAGAGAATGTGATGAAATAAACATAAAGAAATTTTATCTTTAATTTTTCTGTGTTAAAATTATATATTAATAATATTTATTTTTTCAAGGTTGCCATCATCCAACATACAATTTTGAATGTTTCATTAACTTGTTAATATATGATCTCCCTATTTCACCATCATCTGAAAGCCAAAAAAGATAATGAAAGCATCCTTTCCTGAACAATTTAACTGTTAGTGATGAAGAGACCAGTACCAACAATGAAAAAGTGCCAATGAAAAGTAGACTAGTGACTTTTTTTTTATTTATACATGTAATGTGCACACAATATACATCCACATCTCAAATGTTAAAAACAATAAGGAAAAATTGATAATTTGCTATCTGTTACCATGATAGTGTGAAAATGTCAATTGTGGTCCAAAGTATGTAATAGTTGGTATGAGAGGAATTAATAAAAGTATTATCATTACATCATCTTCAGATAGAAAATGTCAGAGTGAGCAAATATAATAAATATTTTCATTTTTCTATGGCTATTTTGATTTTTGTGAAACAGTAAAATCCTTTTTAAAATAATCATTTATTATTGTACAACAAACAAGCCATTTTCTACCAAATACTAAAAAAAATGCTTGATTTTCCACCTGAACTCCTAACTGAAACATTCAAATACATTGAAGATGATGACTATAAAACATTATATTCTTGTATTCTTGTCAACAAACAATGGCACAATATTAATATTCCAACTTTATGGAGAAATTCATTGACTGGAAACAGCATCAAAATTATAATTAATTGTTTAGTGAAAGAAGATAAGGATTTCTTGACTATAAATGGCATTGAATTAAATTTTGAACTATTGGAGAAACCACCATTA